CCCCCCCCCACCCACACACACACTCATTTTTATGGACCACTCATCATTTATCCCCTTTGGGAGTTGAAGGATTAAGGATGGATCACACGGTTTTTTAAATACTTTATTCCTTGTAGGTTCTTTTAAGATGGACGTCTTTGCTCGCAAGTCCTTAGAGGCCCACAATAAATATCGAGCTCAGCACAACGTGCAGGCTCTCACGTGGTCTAACAGTATTGCACGTGAAGCAGAAGCATGGGCCAAGACTCTCGCTAAGAAAGGCAAGCTGATGCACAACAAGGACAGGAAGTCAGGAGAAGGAGAAAATATATTCATGAGTAGTGCAGCAGACTTTGAGAGTGTTGGTGCTGATGCTACAGACAGCTGGTACTCTGAGGTCGAGAAGTAAGTAATATTAATAAATATTAATAAATCCTTTGCGCCAAGGGTCACTGCCATGCAGCCACAACTACAAAAGACGAATTAAATTTCCTCTCTATTTATTGACTCAAGATCATTTAATCCTAGATATGACTTCAAGAGGGGTGGTCACCAGCCCCAGACCGGCCATTTTACGCAAGTGGTATGGAAAGAAAGCACAGAGCTTGGAATGGGCCGCGCGAAGTCCAAAAACGGGATGGTTTTTGTCGTAGCCCGCTATAAACCTGCGGGAAACAATCTGAGAGACTTTGATAATAATGTGCTACCAAAGGTATGCTGGTAACAGAAATATATACAACTTGTTGGGCGGGGGCAGCTAGTCGTCAGGATATTTGGGAGACTGGGTAGGAGGGGGTTGAGGCGGCGATACATCTTTGGTCGTTGGCCTGTCTATATACCACCATTGTACGTTTCAAGCTCTCTAGGTTTTTCTAAGCTACCATTGTTATTTAGAAAAAAATATGGCGGCTCTTCCAGCAACAACTTCGTTATGACGCCTTGCTAAATGTTGAAAGTTTGACGGAAAACCCCTGACGTCGAACTGCAGTTTGGGGTTTGCTGTACCTAGCAAGAACGTCTTGCTAAAGGTCTCGATTATATTTCTGTATATTCACTACAGGTGTCGTCAGGTCAAAGGTCACCAGGTACGAATAACGAGATCAACAGTGCTAAGCAACCACAACCAGCAGAACAGAAGCCAACTTACAAAGACGAAAACAAAGGTAAATAAGAGATTTTTAGAATAATCTATCGTGAAGCGCTTAGTTGAATGCGAGAAAACCCGGTTAAAAATCCGCTCCCGCCAACATTTCTGCCGCATGAGAAGGTTACCAATGAAGTGAAAAATTTAAATATGAAAATACTGATGTGTGCTGAAACGTCACGGCACACAATCTGAGGTGAGGGATATCATACCAGTTAGYTCGTCATATTTGAGGTACATTTAACCTGTTGTACATTGTAAGCTGGTAAAGGAACCAGTAAAAAAGGTTGCTTTTACCAGCCAAGTGGTAATAGTTTGGAAATAACCCAGTAATATTAAGAGCATGAGCAAGAATGAAATCCTATAACACAACACTACTGACATTAGTCACTACTAACATTCAAAAGCGAAAACAATTTTTAACTTAGCCATGTTTTTAATTCAGGGTTAGTATGATCTATCTTAAACCACTGTAAATTATTTATCCTCTTATTATTATTATTATTATTATTATTATTATTATTATTATTATTATTTTGTCGGCTCCACAAACATGAATCAAATTGTCAGCCCTAAAAATTCATGAGTAATTTATAACATTCTAATCCTGTTTGTGCGTTTCGTAACACATTGATAACCTAATAACATAAAATTGCTTCATTGATTCAGGAATTTATTGATTTATAATCCGGCATATAATCATAATATAATCATTTTTTCTTTTGTCTTATTCTATCATATAAACACTCCTTTCTACCACCTCTTTCCATTTTACTCCGACGAAGGACTAGCGTCCGAAACGTCAGTAAGTTTTTTTATCTTTTCACGGTGTAAAATTTACCTTTTTATCATTACTGTTTCATTAGAAACACCGACGCAGCTCACACTAGTGTTTAGCTAGTTATATCTTCTGATTTATAATCATAGTAATGTTTAGAAAACCTATTGATATTATTCACGTCTGTCCTGTGAGCAAAGTGGTCAGAGGTCATGCAAGACGAATCAACCGAGAGGGAGGGATGCAGGTTTGTTACCTTTTGACTACCATACTAAGCTGTCGTCTCTTATTTCTTCATAGGAATGAGTCCAATCAATTTGACCATTAAACCAACCACGGTTACTCTAGATGGTAAGTACTTGTGTTACTTCCGCTTCCGGTGTTGGAATCCGCTGATTTGAAAATCGCGGGCGCATTTTTTAAAACCTAAGTGACGGTATGTATATATATATATGTACAGGGTTTATTCAAGAGTACTAACATTTTTCTTGTTTACAGGGAACAATATCTCCAATATTCTACAATCTCACAACAAATACCGTGTAATGCATGATGCAGCGCCATTGAAGTGGTCAGAGGTCTTAGCTCGAACTGCGCAGGCGTGGGCTGAGAAGATTGCACGCGAGGGACGCCTAGTTCATGCCAGTCGCGAGGATAGATACTACAAAGGCGAGAATATCTGCCGTATGTGCAGCCACTTTAACACTGATGATGCTATTAGAATATGGTACTCAGAGAGAAGTAACTATGACTACGACAAGCCGGGATTTGATCTGAGCACCGGGCATTTTACCCAGATCGTATGGCGGGATACCCGGGAAGTTGGTGTGGGAATGGCGAAGAGCCCCGATGGGAAGTTAACTTACATGGTGGCCCGATACAACCCCCCGGGGAATATTCTCAATAGGTTTGAGGTGAACGTTGTATCTGACGTTCAGTGATACTAACAGCCGAGGACTGCAGATAATCTGCGTCTAATGGCTATACGTATTAACTCACATTTATATTATTGGCCAATCATTGTTTAAGTAATTTTTCCATCAAGTATAAGCTTAACATCCTCGTAATCGAATACCAACTTACTTACATTTAAAATTATTTGTATCACTCGCATTCAATCATCCTTAAACCATTCAAAATCCAATATCTTTTTCGACTTTGCGCCTTTCATTGTCGGTTTATGATTTAATACATTAAATTCCTGTAAGAGTTAATCAAAATAACCTATAAATAATGAAAAATTATTATCAATCTCCTTAAATAAAATATTCGTACTTCTTTATTATAAGTGATTAAAGGTTTCTATCGCAGTCACGACTAACACTGTAGTGAGTTTATCTTCCATTATCAGGCGAGCTGCAGAATTTCTTTCTTTCTTTCTTTCTTTCTTTCTTTCTTTCTTTCTTTCTTTATTCATTTATTTATTTACAATTTTTTTGATGTATTCGCCGCGCATCCGGAAAAACGTTCGGACCGTGTTCGGAATTCATCCAGGAAATACCTTGTATTAGCTTCGAACCACCTTCTGGAATACTTTTGCGTAAATGCCAAAAGGCTTCAGCGAAACTATTTTCCTTGTTTATGCAACACAGTGTTAAAACAGCGTCAAATCAGAACACATTTCCTGTCCACGTGAGAGGTATTCGCGCGCCATGTGAAGCGCAATCATACAACAGCGAGCCGTTTGTGTTCGACTGATGCTGGACGAAACTCTTTCGTTCATTCTTTCTTTCTATATTTTTCTGCGTCGTATGTACAGTACGAACCCCAAAAACGATTAGTTATAATAAGTTGTAGGTCACTATAACTCATTCTCGTATGCATACTCATTATTTTGTCGAGCATGCGCAGTAAGCAATAAGGGCTCTGGGTATGATATTGAGTATAACTCACGAAATCTTGTCACGCTATGTAATTATTGGTCACGCTCACTTCTTCGAGACGTATACTCGAGTCCATACAATTTGAAAACGCTAATTTATAATCTACGAACTAAACAAGAAGAAATCGTCAGTTAACTTCAAGAAAGTAATGTTTCCGCACCAAAAAAGCACTTAACAAATTTATATTATTTTTTACCTTTTGTCTACGGTTATCAGTCATGCGTTGTCCCCTGTGTTGTTGACTCTCTCATACAAATTAATTTCGCGCGTCTTTGAACTTTGGAAAACAAATTTACCGGGGATAAATATCTCGGCGACAGACGTCACGTGACAAGCCATTATCGGATTAAAATGTGTTGAAAATTTGAATTTTTTGTTTTTTAAATTTAAGGCAGAAAAGATTGCACGGGATATAATGAAAATCAAGATAGACAACTAAGGAAAATTTTGTAATTGTTTTTGTTTGCACCATAATTTTGCACTTTCAACATATTTAAAAGATTTAAGTAAAAAAATATTTTTCAAAAGGATTCCCGTTCAAGTGGTATCAAGAAATAGTTTTCTGTCATTGTAGTGTCATTGTAATTTATGCACATTCGGTTCTAAATGTAAATGAGATCTTTTGTGTGTCTCCCCTATTTAAAAACACACATTTCATGTGTGTCTTTGTCCCGTCTTATCCTTCGACTCATTCAAACTTATCACAGSATATAGGAAAAACAAGTCGAAAATCTTGCAACACAAACGAAAATATCATCTGGAAACCAAAACAGTGAAATAGGAAAAACTAGCGCGAAAATCAAGGCAAGGTTAGTTGTCGATGTTGTCCCGAAAAGAAATGTTTTCATTGAGCGACAATTATACTAAAAAACAGATATATATTGATAAACGTTTCAAGAATAGTAAACGCCTTATTGCAAGCTTAATGCATCTGAAAAGAAGTTTTCACTCGCTTCCTAATGTACTTTGGTCTTTGACTTTGATCTCCAATTTATCTGATTTTGAGGTGGTTAGTTTCGGTGTAAAACAGAAATATTATGCTTCATTTTAAGCAGGGTAAAGTTTTATTTATTTAGACTATAAATTAGTAGTCGATAATTGTGTTTTTGGTGATATTTCTTGCAAGATTTTCGTTTTTAAAGCGGCCTACTTCTCCAAACGAACGAGTTTTAAGTTGAGTTGAAGCAAGATGGCGTACTTTTCATATTTTCCACTTCCTCATTCATCTCAAAACATCGTCTTAAAAGCATTCAAATTCATCCAAATTCTCTTTCCAATCCTAAAAGCTCGATAGCTTTCGATATTTCTTAAGATAACATATTGTTTTTTACCTTTCAAGTATAAAAACGTTCGTATTAAAGTCGATACTTTTTCGAGAATTCCTCGTAAATTAACCTGACAAATTCAAACGGAAATATTTGATTTTTTTTTTCCAATTTACTTGTAATTCGGTTCGTGTAGACTAGGGTCAATGCAGATCAGTTTGCGTTTAATTTCTTTAGTCGTTGCTGTCATTAAATCTCCAATTCTTGGCGGCTGCGAGTAGGTCATACTTAATAACACCAGGAATTTGCAAATTTGTTTATGGTGTAGTATAGTGGAGGTTGTCGACATCGACAAAAATAGATGACAAGATTTTTAACAATAAAAAAACTTACTTTGTTCATAAAAAATATTTCTAGAATTAAAGTTAATATGTTAAGAATGTCTTGTAGAGAACCAAATGCCTCTAAATGTTCAGTTTTAATGGTTTTTTCTCACAATATGATGGCATTTTTAATTTATTCATCATCTTTTCCAGCTGTGTGAATAAACGCGCTCAAGATAGACTCGTTCGTTTCTAGGCAACCAGATGTTTAGCTAAGAAGGAACGGATGTTGTCGTCAAGCGTTTTTTCATTTTTATTTCTTTAAATTTTGAATTGTTTTCCTTTTATTTTGAGAATATAGCCAGGGTAAAATCACCTTTAAGGATTAAAGTCCCAATATATGGCTACCAAATTGTAATTTTAAAGAAAAATCTTGAAATAAAAACTGTAGTAAAGTAACACTCTGCACGTACTTGATATTAACTATTTTAAACAATTTGTTCTAGAAATTACTTTTTCTATTTGAATAATTTCGAATCATTAGGGATCAGGAAAATATAGTGAGATATTGGGACAAAAATATGAGATCCCGAAGCAGCAAAACTACGGTTTTGAAGGCTTTCAATGACACCATTAACTTTACACCTAGAGATAGCTTTCAAAATTTAATCTATCATTAATAACCTGTGGGTTTTCCCCCGCTTTAATTTACCTTTGTATTAAGAACTTACTTGAGTGATCTCAAGTTTTATTATGTTAGCGCGCGCATCAACCACATCTCAAAATCCCTTGAGATATAAATATGGAATGCTTGGTTATGCATTAAAATATAGTACRAATATAGTTGTTCTTGATTAATAGCTTTAGTGTACTGATTATGTAACAAAAGGCAGCTCTGGAATGAGGGAATAAAAGTGCTATTTTCCATATTTCTTTGCAAGCCATCCATAGAAGTGTGAAACTTGATGAGTG